CCGGCGCATCAGAAACCAGCGCGCATCAGTGGGGGGGTGGGGGGAGGGGGGAGGGTTCTGATTCAGCCGTGTGGTTTCAGAATCATTGCTGTTCCGATTCAGTCGTTCTGGTTACCGATTTTTCCGCCGACCGACTAAAATGGATCAATCTGTTCATAAGGTCTGGTGATCCTGTTGATGGCTAGGGCAGAGCCAAGCGTAGGAGCGACCGCACTGCTTGTTTGCCTGCGAAAGGGAGCGCACCGTCATTCAGTCACTTGCGCAGAACAGTGACATGTCTTGTATCCTAAATGGTCCTGAACCGAGGCCAGTGAGGCTGTAGCTCATCATAGATGACTGAGATCGCCACACACCTTTGCCAATGCACCATACAGTGTACACTGACATGACTAATCCTGAACCATCGGAAGCATTGCAAGACACGAGACTATCAAGCCAAACCATGGCTGTAAACTCTCTTGATCTCTCGATGCCCTCCAAGGCATTCGAAGATTTAAACCTTACATGTTCGACCCCCTAGCCCTTACTTGTAGTAGGCCCTAGCCAACGTCCACAAGCTTGAGCCCAGGGCAGAACCCAAAGCCAAAACACTGTTCTTGTGACCGCATCATGTCGATACCTAATGGCCAAACGTTAAGTAGGCAAACGCCTTGAACCCCGAGACCCGTCCAAAAAGCTTGGGCGAGGCGTGGGCCGCTGCGGCGGTGATCCAGAGATTGCCGGGTTCCTGGGCCGTGGGGAGGACGAGGCACTGTTGGTTAGATGGAAGATGGTTTCAGGGTTTTCACGATCTTCATCGGCGATGCTGGTTCAGCGCTAGACTCTGTGTCTCTGGCTTGTGGCATCGCTCCGATGCTGCTCTCGGGTGTGCCTCCCTGGGTTTGACATCTTGCTTGCTACTTCAGGTTCAGTCCTTGGAAATTTTAGGCATCCAAGAAGCGAGTCTCCAACGCCCATGGACAATGCAGACCCCTTGCAGGTCAAAGGTTCTTCAAGTGAGAAATTCTCATTGTGACAAGCAGCCAAATCCAGGTAACTCGAAATACGCGCATTATGACAGCAGGAGACAGCCACTCTCGCTCAGCACCAAACCCTCAATGCGAAGCTGGCACCATAGTCTTGTGCATGGCGGGATGTTGAAGATTGTGAGGCGTTGAAGTTTCCTGGACGTGGTTTTGCCGTTGCACCGGCCTCGGCAGCCCTCAAAATGTCGCGTGGACAGTGCTGTCATCTGTCTCCGTGCATGTTTCGGGCTTCAGTTTCTGCTCTGCAGGGTGCAGCGTCACTCGCAACTGTGTGATTACTGCTAAACTGGGCTTAGACTCTCTCGCGCATTTCTTAATCCTCTGGGCTTCCATGTGCCAGGACGCCTGAGCTGACAATGTCAGAAGGTCGGAAGCGCTCAGTAGCTAGTCGGAAAGAAATCTGATTGAGTGAGAGACGCAGCATGAACACCCGCTTCGCGTCGAAGGCATCACACTGCAACCCATTAAACCGAAAGGGGTAAACTAGGGTGTAGCAGCAGCGCAGCATCTGGGATTTGGAATGCGGGAAATCTGGTGTTGTTTCGCTTGAGGAGTGGATCCTATAATCCGCCGGGGCAGCATCTTGGGGGCAATTGTCAGAGGTACGTGACGTTTTTTGCTCAGTACTGCTTGTTATGAGCAGCTCAAGTCTCCAACTTCGCACCCCATGGGCACGGGAGCCAGTACCACGAGTGTGTAGTGGCCCAGCGCCTGGGCCTTTTGAAGTTCGTGCGGTCTCCGTACACGCCTGCCAAAGGCAAGCGGTCAAGAGTGCTTGGTCTCCACCAGATGGATCCATTTCCGCCCTTGAAGCAAATTGACAACTTCCACTCTTGAAGATGGCAGAGCAAGGTTGCAGCGTGCTGTGTGATCCTGTGTGTTGAGTCGCAGTCTGCGGCTCCCAACCTGGCCGGATGGTTTCAAGTTTTATGGTTCTCAGCACGCCAAAGTAGAGCCACATCAGCTTCGCCTGCCCCTCCCCCAGTATGCTGCGACTCTGTGCCCTGCTGCTGGCGCCCCTTGGCGCTGCCGGAGCTGCCGGCGACTGGCAATGGACCGCGCTGCGCGGAGGCTCCAGGGTCGTTCCTGCAAGTTTGGTCTGAGTTTCTATAGGAACCTGCCAAGAGGGAGACCGCAGACCGCAGAGCAGCGCCCGGACCCCAGCCCTCCTCCCAGGCTCCGACAATGACCGCTTCTATGCCATGAAGGCCGGGAGCAGGGGCAGCGAGGTAGCGTGCAGCGGGTTGCTCAACGCCGTTTTGCAGAGAGTTCGGAGCTCGAGGTGGCAAGGGGAATCACCTGTGTCTTTTTTGGGGGGGTCACTTCTGTCTTTTTTTCGGGTGTCACTTGTGTCTTTTGTGCTGGTTCGGAAGCAACAGTCTCGAACGGGAGGCCTCCTGGAAGGCTAACCCTACAGCCACCCAAAGCTTGGAGCAAACCTGCTGAAAAGATCCCCTGACGCTCTATACACACATACATGTAATAACACATACATAAGTGCAAAGGTAGCTTTCTCCACTTGTCAGTAGCATCTGGCAGTGTGCATGTCTCATGACCTCCAGCATAGTTGGATAGTACAAGGTCAAAAATCAGTAACAAAGTAAAGTAACACACGCCCTGAATGAATGAATGAATGGACGAACGCACGAACGAAGGAACGAATGAGTGAGTGAGTGAGTGCGTGAATCAAGGAGTGAATGAATGAAGGACTGAATGAATGA